AGTCGAGAGTCTTGCTCTGCTGTCCAGGCTGGAGTGCAGGGGCACAATCACGGCTCACTGCAGCCTCAACTGGGCTCAGGCCATCCTCCTGCCTCAGTCTACCAAGTAGCTGGAACTACAGGTGCACAACACCATGCCTGGCTAACTTTAAAAATTTTTTTTTGTAGTGACGAGGTCTTGCTATGCTGCCCAGGCTGGTCTCGAACTCCTGGGCTCAAGCAGTCCTCCCACCTAGTCCTCCCAAAGCGCTGGGATTACAGGAGTCAGCGACAACAAGCCCCTGTGAGGCTGGGATGGTTAGAAGCCCTGGAATAACGATCGTCTTTTTAAGGGGATTACCGAACACTAGTGCTCCGCATGTGTGATGTAATAACGACACCCAGAACTGCTGACTTACACAAAGCACACTCTGAATAAAGGTGCCAAGGGGTTATTCAGTATGTGTGGACTTATGTGTGTAACAAAAGGTAGAATCTTCAGAAATATTCAGCAGTGCGTTTGAATGTCCTCCCTGTTCCCCTCCATGGAGTCTCTTCTGGCCTGTCTTCCAATTCATGACTTCTCTCCAGCTCTTTGTCTATTCGGAAGTTAAAACATTTCATTGAATTCTTAATTTCAATATTTTTGGCAGTCCTGGAATTTACCTTTTTTTTCAAATCTGCCATGTCACTTTTTAGGCTTTTTGTTTTTTGCCAAAGCATTCAAGCTGGGCCTGTACGTCCTTCCACACAGAGAGCATAGTTGTTTGATCATTCATGACTGATCAATCCATGCGGGAGCCATAGTATGTTTCCTACTCTGCTGTTTCTGCCAATCGTGGTTTATGGTGTCCTTGTGTGAGCAGTCTTTGCTTTTTTCCTTAAGAGACAGTTTCACTTACCAAGGCTGGAGTGCAGTGAGGTGATCATAGTCACCATAGCCTCAACCTCCTGGGCTCAAAGGATCCCCCTACCCTAGCCTCCCAAGTAGCTAGAATTACAGGTATATGCTAGTACACCTGGTTAATTTTTTTTCCCACAGAGATAGGGGTCTCACTATGTTGTCCAATTTGGTCTCAAACTTCTGGACTCAAGTAATCCTCCTACCGCGGCCTCCCAAAATGGTAGGATTACAAACATGAGTCATTGCACGTGGCTCAGTCATCTCTGTGTATTGGATAGTGTGTATGAAAAAATTATTTGTAGAAATAACTTAAGACCTATTATCTTCCTCCTAAGAGGATTATTCATTGTACAGCAGTTTATTTTATTTATTTTTTGCCAGATGTGTGGAGGCATGAGCCTTCTAGAATCACCTTGATCCCAGGTCAGGGTTTGAGATTTTGGGGGTCACCAAGACCAGTACCTCTTGAACTTCCATGTGCTTACACCTCACCTGTGGACCTTGTCAAAATGTAAATTCTAACTTAGTAGATTTGGGGCCAGCCCTAAGACTCTGCATTTTTTTTAGGGGGGTTGGAGTCTCACTCTATCACCCAGGCTGGAGTGCAGTGGCACACTCATAGCCACCGCAGCCTTGACTTTCTGGGCTTAGGCGATCCTTCCACCTCAGTCTTCCAAGTAGTTGGAACTACAGATGCATGTCACCACGCCTGACTAATTTTTGTGATTTATTGTAGAGATGAGGTCTCACCAAGTTGCCCAGGCTGGTTTAGAATCCCCGGGCTCAGGCAATCTTTTCGCCTCGGCCTCTCAAAGTGCTGGGATTACAGGCTGAGCCACTGTACCTGGCCAGACTCCACATTTTTAACAAGCCCCCAAGAAATGTCAGTGCTGCTGGTACCTGGACCTCACTCAGGGAACGAGGGCTAAGATGACTCGAGGCAGGCTCCTAGTTCTTCTGAGCGTGGTTTTACTCCCAATTCCCCCAGCATGGGGACTGGTTTTTCTTTTTGTCTTATTTTGAGTCAGGGTCTCACTCTGTTGCCCAGGTTGAAGTGCACCATCATGGCTCACTGTGACCTTGACTTCCTGGGCTCCAGTGATCCTTCCATCTCAGCATCCTGAGTAGCTAGAACTATTAGTGCATGCCACCACACTCAGCTATTTTATTTTTTATTTTTTTGTAGAGATGAGGTCTCCCTATGTTGCCCAGGCTGGTCTTGAACTCCTGAGCTCAAGCAGTCCTCCCACCTTGGCCTCCCAATGTGTTGGGGTTACAGCTGTGAGCCACAGAGCCCTGCCTCTCATGTGAGTGTTTTCTACTTGATTCCTGCTTCTAGTGATTCTAATAGAGTGTCTGTATATTCCTTGGGGTTTTCTACATAAACAATCATGTTGTCTGAAAATAATGAGAGTTTTCCTTTCCACTACTCTCATGCACTTCATTTTTCTAACCTCATCGTGCCAGCTAGGACTCTAGCACATTGTCAAATAAAAGTGTTACAGCAAGTATTCACAGCTCACATGTGGTCTCAAGAGGAAACATGTGAAGCTGCATTGCTGTCGTGCTCACCTAAGACCTTGGACACATGCTTCATGAGATCAAGAAGTTTTCTATTCCTAGTTTGCTAAGACAGTTTTGTTTTTAAAATAAAGAATAGGTATTAAGTTTTCTCAAATTATTTTTACATATATCTTTGTATATGTTGTTGGTGTGGAAAATCTCACCGGTATGTTTTTGAGTCTTAAATGCACCTTTCATTCTTGGCATAAACCTAATCTGGTCATGATGTGTTAGTCGTCTTCTGGAATGCTAGATTTGATTTGCTTTGGAATTTCATATTCTATATACACGGCAGAGATTGCCTAGAATTTTCCTCTCATTGAACATTCTTTTCAGTTTTAGTCTGGGTTCTCCATAGAAGTAGAACCGTGTGTGTGTGTGTGTGTGTGTGTGTGTGTGTGTGTGTGTGTGTGTGTGTATAGATAGAAAGAGAAAGACCTAGAGACAAAAACAGAAAGACAGAGATAAAAAAGAGACAGAGAGAGAAGAAAGAAACAGAGAAAGAGAGAGAGGATATATAGAAAGAAACAGAGATAGAGACAGACAGAGCAGAGGGAGGGAGGGGGATTTGAGATCTGTTACAAGGAATCAGCTCTGCATCTATAGATGCTGGGAGTGCCGCCACCTGCAGCCCACGAGACTCATGAGGACCCAGGATGGCAGCTCCAGCCTGGATCCATAGCCTGAGAACTAGGAGGACCAGTGCTGTGGTTCCTGCTGGAGCTAGAATCACAGGCAGGGCCTTGTGGATCCAGGCAGAGTCAGGGATTTCCCTCCAGAAATCCCCTCCCACCCAGCTCCACCTTCCCATTTCAGTCAGGCTTTCAAGGACCAGATGAGGCCGTCCAGACTGGGAGGACAGTCGACTTTACTTAGTGCAGCAAGTTGAGTGATAACCCCTTCCAGAAACACCCTCACAGACACACCCGCAACAATGGTTAGTCAAATAGCTGGTCAGGTTGATGGACACACTGACCATTACAGATACCAAAGTTATGCTGACTTCATTCCAGCTGGGAAGAAGTCTTCTTTTTCAATTCTCTGGGGAAAATGTCTGTTAAGATTGGTGTTAATTCTTCCTTAAATATTTGGTAAAATTCACTGATAAGCCTGGAGTTTTCAACGTGGAAAGTCAGGATTCAATCAGGGAAACAACACTAGACTATATGTAAGAACTGGCTGAACACAGTGGCTCACACCTGTAATCCCAGCACTTTGTGAGGGTGAGGTGGGATGATCACTTGAGGCCAGGAGTTCAAGACCAGCCTGGATAACATAGCAAGACTCTGTCTCTCAAGCATCTCCGAACAGGTGTTTAGCCTTCCTTCTCTTCCAATCTACCCATCTAAGGCTACACGCTTTCCTCGACACACCAAACTATCCCACAACTTTGGATGGGCCATCTTTTCCATTACTATTTAGTTCAAGATATTTCTAACTCCCCTTATGGTCTCTTTTTTGACCCAAGTAGATGTTTATTCCAATATTTGTTCCAATACTTGGGGCGTTCTCATCTTTTTTGTTGTTTCTAGCTTAGTTTTGTTATCAGAAAATATACTCTGTATTAACTCAATATCTAACATCCATTGAGCCTAGCTTCCCGATCCAGCATTCAGTCTTTTCTGGCAAGTGCTCTGCATGCACTTGAGAAGGATGGTGACCTGGCGCTCCGGGGAGCACTGTCCTGCACCTGCCACTTGGGTGAAGTGTGGTTGTGCTGTTCAGACTTTCTGCTTGTTTTATTATTTGTTGAGAAAGGCGTGTCGAGACCTCCCCCCTCCATCCACCCATGAGATGGAAGGTAAGATCCCAAGAGCCTGAAGTGGAAATAGGAGGCTGAGACAAAGAGACAGCTACTCTAATTTGCATTAGAAATTAGCAAAAATTAGGGGGAACCAACTCGAGAGGTTAAGAGGGAGACTGCTCAGGGCAGGAGCTGCCACATCAGTGACAGGCACGCGCACACCTTCCTTCTGACATTAGACTTGATCTGTAGACATTTTTCCCTACTTTGTCTCCAAAAGAATTGAAAGCTGCTTGATTTCTGTAGGTTGTCCTTCCACCTCATCAATAAATCATTTTCCTATATTTAACTATTTTTTAATCTTTTCTTTTTTTATTATGAAGATGTGGGATACCGTTCAGGGTTAGATAAACAATGCAGGTACCCTCATTGATGAGATGTGCCCCTCTCTCCCCTAGCAGTTTCCCTCAACTGCCACTCCTACCCTCCCACAGTTTCCCACTACTGTCCATCCCTTTCTTATAGTATTATAATTCTATATTTAACTATTAAAGGCTGGGCACGGTGGCTCATGCCTGTAATCCCAGCACTTTGGGAGGTGGAAGCGGGAAGACTGCTTGAGGCCAGTAGTTTAAGACCATCCTGGGCAATATAATGAGACCCTATCTCTATAAAAAAAAAAAGTAATAACACAAATTTTAAAACTGTTAAAAAGGTAAGACATTGAAATTATTTTATCTCTAATAGTAAAACTTTCTTATTTTACCCTACGTTCTATTTTTTATCAAAAAATTAAGAAGAAAATGATTTGGAGGAATGCTTTTATTAAGCAACATCTTATAAAGTGATGGAACATCCCACTGCAAAGATATCATGCTTTTTAAAAGTTGAGGTTCTTCATGTGTATTTCTCCATTTTCATTCATCTCTTCTTTTCTATATACTTTTATTTTCTTAGACTTGCTCAGTCAATAACTTCTTGTTTTAAATTTCATAAAAAGTATTTGGGAGTATTCATATGAAAGTGATGGCTGTTTTCATAATTGTGTCCTTCTTTGTATGATCCAAATCTAAAAGAGAAGTAATTGACATGTAAACACCATTCAGATAGGTATGTTCTTATGTAAAATTTCACCCAAAATTTATTTTGGTTTTACTTATCTACCACAAAACCAGAACTGATGTGATCAATGTATAAAATCGCAAGTGAACAAGCAGAAAAGGACATGCGTATACGAGAAGGCAAGCTGAAATTGTAACCCCCATGATTACGGATCATCTCCAAAGCCCAACTGCTTGAGGAAGACTGACTGATAACACCGCTGAGAGACCAGTCTGGGTTTTCTCTCTGGTCCTGAGTTTGAGTAATTTCCATTTCATAGGCAAAGGTGGGATGAAACCTGACATGTTCTTCACATTACACTCATGCATGTGTGGAATCTGTCTTGGCACAACTTCCGACTCTTCAATGACAACTCACCTACTTCTCAGATGAATTCCTAATTACAGAGTTCTGATTGATGTTATGGGAGACAGAGGCCCTGGGGAGAAAGCTGGAGCCAAAGTCCATGAGGCCAGGACAGAAGTGCCCCAACAGACAGCCTGATGCAGAGATGGCAGGTCTGAGTATTTTGTCATCTCATACAATAATAATAAGGAATATACAAGTATGCATCATTTTTTTGAGATAGGATCTCACTCTGTCACCCAGGCTAGAGCACAGTGGCACAACCATAGCTCATTGCAGCCTCAAACTCCTTCAAGCAATCCTCCTGCCTCAGCCTTGCTGAGTAGCTGGGACTACCGACATGTGCCACTACCCCAACTAATATTCTAAAAATTTTTTGTAGAGATGAGGTCTTGCTGTATTGCAAAGGCTAGTCTTGAACTCCTGGCTTCAAGTGATCCACCTGCTTCAGCCTCCCAAACCACTGGGCTTACATCATGCCCAGCCAAACTTGACATGACCTTTGAACCTGCTATCCCACAGCTTGAGCTAGACTCTAAGGAAGTAATCAAGGATATGTTTGAAAATCTAAAAAGGAGGCTCCAGAAGACTTTTTATAGCAATAAAGAATAAATGTGCAAAATCAAAAATCACTAGGTTAATTAGCTAAAGTGTGGGACAGTCACACAATGTAATATTATGCAATCATTAAAAATATTGTGAGAAGAGTACTTTATTAAGAATGAAACTTCCTAATGCATGATTTGGATGAAAAAAATCAGATTAACAAATAAAGTGAAAAAAGTAAGATTAATACTAGAGTGAATACGGACATACATGTGCCACACATTTGCAAAACTCGGATAACTACGTGACATATAGACATGTATGCAGGCATGACATCAGCAATATGGCAGAACAGCCTCTCCAGTGCACATACCCTCATGGAAAAGTCTACTTTAACACCTATCCATGTGCAAAAACACCTTCACAAGAGTTAAAGGCTTTGGTGAGACGCTCACAACTGAGTGGAGTGTTGGAGAAGGTGGGAAGGATGGTTTCACACACATACAAACCCCTATCCCCAGAAGGTGCAGCACAAGGAGGAGGGAGACCACCTCTGCTGGGGAAGAGGGAATGAACACCTGGCTTTGCCACAGACTCCAGCACCAGGCCCACTCCAATGGGCATCAGCACAGGGCCACACCCACAGACCGAGCCTCCAGCCATCCCAACACCAGGCCAGCCCCTACGACTCCAGGTATCACACAGGCACCCATGAACCCAACCTTCAGGGCCATCCAAGGCCCCAGGCCATCTCAGTGCCGGGCCAGCCCCTTCAGCCCCAGGTACCAGACAGGTACCCATGAACCCAGCCTCCAGGCCCTTCTCAGCTTCAGGCCAGCCCCTGTGGCCCCTGCCTCTAGTTCAGCTTCCACAGACCTAGCCTCCAGGCCAATACCCACAGACCCAGCCTCTAGACCCAGACCCAAGGCCTGCCCCAGCACTAGGATGGCCACCAGGCCACTCCCGATGGTCCCAGACACCAGGCCAGCATCTTCAGATACAGGCCCCAGACTGGCCCCTGTGAGCCTAGGATCCAGTCCACCTCAGTTCCAGGCTGGTCCCTGTTGCCCAGGTGACAGTGGACCCAGGACCTAGGCCCACTCCAACAATCTCAGGGTACAGGCCCATCACTGGAGACCCTAGCACGGGTCTCAACATAGCAGATTCAGACTCCATGAAACCGGGTTTCGGGCCAGGCCCCATAGACCCAGCACCAGGGTAACTCCCATAGATTCAGGCTCAAGGCCCAACCCCACAGACCCAGGGAGCAGGATGGCCCTTGTGGATTCAGACTCAGGCTCTAGGCCCACCCTGGAGACCCAGTCAACAGACTCATCCCAGTGGACCCCAGTACCAGGCCAGCCCCCAAAGACCCAAGTCCCAGGCCCACACTCCTGTTAACCCAGGCACCAGGCCAGACTGCTCAAGGACTCCAGCAGCAAGCCCACCCATGAATCCCACTAGATGGCACACCTAGAGTCTTTGGACAAGCTCACTGGTAAAGGGCTTTCCCTGCCAAAGTAAATCTGTAAAGACCAGAAGTGGTACCTACTTCTTCAAATGTGCAGACACCTCTGCATACATACAGGATCCCAAATAATCAGAGAAACATGGTACTACCCAAGGAATGAAATAAAGCACCAATAACTGACTCTAAAGAAATATAGATGAAAAACTACCTGACAAAAAAGTCAAAATAATAATCTTAAAGAAAACACAGATAACCAACTGAAAGAAATCTGAAAAATAATACACAAACAAAATGAGAAGTCCAACAAAGAAGCACAATTAAAAGAACCAAACAGAAATTTTGGAGCTAAAGAGTACAATAACTAAGCTGAAATACTCAACAAAGAGCTTCAAAAGGAGAATTAATCAAGCAGAAGAAAGAATCAGTGAGTTCAAGACAGGTCATTTGAAATCACTCAGAGTAACAAAAAGGAAAAAAAATGAAAAAGAATGAAGACACCCTACAGCAATAATGGAACATCATCAAACAACCCAACAGACATAGTATCAGATTTCCAAAACAGTAGAAAAAGAGAAAAGAACAGAAAATGTATTTAAAGAAATAATGACAACAATCCCTCTCCTGGAAATACACCCGGAGGAACTCAAATTACTTTATGAAAAAGAAACTTGCACATGCATGTGTATTGATGCATTATTAACAATAGCAAAAACATGGAACCAACCCCACTGCCCATCAAAAGTGGACTGGATTTTAAAAAATGTGGTACATATACATGATGGAGGATTACACAGTCATAAAGAAGAACAAAATTATGACTTCGCTGCAAATTGGACGGAGTTGGAGACGATCATACTTAGTGATCTACCACAGAAACAAAGAACTGAATACCACATGTTCTCAATCGTAAGTGGGACCTGAGCATTACTCACATTAGTGCAAGGGAGGGACTGGCCATCGTTGAACACTGCCAGAGGAGGATAGGGTGGCAGTGGGGTGCATAACAGCACAAAGGGTACCTAGTCCCAAACCAGGGGAAGTGAAGGCCAGCTGGAGGTCCAAACTTCACCTGTATGCAGCCTACTTGTGTAGTTAATCCTTAATCGTACCCCACATCTCTATAATAAAATATTTTTTTTTAAAAAAAGAAAAGAACTAGCTTAAAAACATGACAGATTTCTCATATCTGGAAGAGAAAATGAACATGCAGATCTGTGAAGCCCAAAGAATCCCAAACAGATCAAATGAGACATTATCATCAAATTCTCAAAGCCAAAGACAAAAAGGAAATTTTGAAAGCAGAAAATGAAAAACAAAAAGAACATTGACGTGAACCCATATGAGACTATCAGTGGATCTACCAGTCAGAAATATTGTGGGCCAAGAGAAATTGAGATGATATATTCTAAGTGCTGAAAGAAAAAACTGCCAACCAAGAATACTACTTAGCAAGGCTGCCCCTCAAGAATGAAGGAGAGGTAAGGACTTTCCCAGAAAAATAACAGCTGTGGGAGTTCATCACCAACAGACTCACTTTATGATAAATACTAAAGGGAGTTCTTCAAGTTGAAACCAAATGATGTTAACTGACACCATGAAAACATATTAAAGTATAAAACTTAATGTAAAGGTGGGGATATAGTCAAATTCAGAATACTCTAATACCATAAAGCTGCTACACAAATCATTTTTAACTCTAGAATAAAAGATAAAAGACAAAAGTATTCATTACAATAAATTGTCAATGGATGAAAGATATATTAAAGATGTAAATTGTGACATCAATCATATAAAATATAGGAGCAGCAGAAGTTAAGTTGTAGAGTTTTTTAGGTAGCAGACAAAGCTGTTGTCACTTTAAAATAAACAATTATGCAAGAGACACCCTTATGGAAATTGGAACTGGTAACCAGCTTGGGGTTCCTGATCAAAACCCCAAGTGCCCATGTCATAAGAGATAAGATAGACCTCATCAAACTGACAAGCTTCTGCAATGCCAAAGAAACCACTGAAAGAGCAGGAGAGAGCCCACAGACTGGCAAAAACATTTGCCAATTGTATACCTGACAAAGCCCTAACATCTAGGATCTACAAGAAACTCAAATGTGCCAAAAAGAAAAACAAACAGTCCCATTACAAAGTAGGCAAAAGATATGAATAGACACTTCTCAAAGACATACGAACAGTGAACAGATACACGAAAAAGTGCTCGGTCTCACTAGTCATCAAAGAAATGCAAATTAAAACCACACTGAGATACCACCTAACTCCAGTCAGGATGATCATCATCAAAAACTCAAAAAATAACAGACGCTGAAGAGGATGTGGCAGAAAAGGAACATTTCTACACTGTTGGTGGGAGTGTAAACTAGTAGAGCCTCTGTGGAAAACAGTGTGGCGATTTCTAAAAGATCTAAAAATCTACCTCTCACATGACCCTGCAATCCCCCTAACTGGGAATATACCCGGAGGAACACAAATCACTCTATGAAAAAGATACCTGCATATGCATGTTTATTGCAGCATTATTTACAATAGCAAAAAGTGGAACCAACTGTGCTGCCCATCAAAAGAGGACTGGATTT